CACAAGAGGAGATGGGACGCCATTGTTTTCGATTGTGTTTACAGCTGGGAGTCCGGGACGATAGTTCTACACGACAAAATGAAGAAAATAAGACCCTGGTTATAGGTTTTTTTTTTGGGGGGGGGGGCCACCCCCCTACATCATTGTGTAAGGTGAAGCACAGAAGCGTTTACAGTGCCCAACAGGGAAGCATGCTAAGTTCATGCTAGCCTTATGTCTCATGAGTTAAGGGCATAGAAGCATGAAGAGTCAAGGGTGTAGAAACCTGAAGAGACAGTGGTTTATGTCATCAAGTTATTGGAAGCTCCAACAACTCCCTGAATACGAATTCGCAACTTTCGACTTACACCAGGTACCTACTTTACTGCTCGGTGAACAGGGACTAATGGGGGCAAGGAAGTAAGTCCAAACAACTTCCACCGGCCTGGGAATCGAGCCCATGACATCTCGTTTGCAAGGCAAGAACGGTACCGCTTCTACCACCGGCCCCCCAACCTGGTTGTAGCTGTAGTAAAATTAATGCAAAAAAATGAATATATATATATGTACTGTATTTTAAGTAATGTTATTTAATGTTAATAAATGGAACAGTAGAAGTAACTAACCACTAATGGTAAAGAAAAAAAAGTGAGATGGATTGGGAACGCCAACATATACGTGTGCATTTAAGGATACCACGTCATTTATCTTTCTAAGAATTTGTACAAAAGATTCATTATTGTTTATTACTGAATATGTATTTGGTTGAATTAATTTAATTAATCTTTATACAGTGGTCCCTCGGTTAATGAACACAATTCGTTCCACAGAGTCGTTCGTTAACTGAATCTATTATTTCAATGGGATATTGAGTAATTGGTTCCAACTCACAGAAAAAGTACTGTATACCAGTAATAGAATTGACAAAACATTAAATATAAACTAAATACAGTACTGTACAATAATAAATTAAAAAACAATAGAATACTGTATTTTAACTTACTTTGAGGTGTGTATGTCGTATTACCGGTTCCTTGACTGTCATTTGTCAACACTAACTTAACCTAACCTAAACATATAAAAGTGTTTTATTTTATATTTTATATATGAGACTTGGGTTTTGTCTGTTGGGGTTTTATCCGGTCACCCGTATTACCTGCAGCTTTGTTTACATATCAAACAGCTGATTGTAGAGGCACTCCTTACAGAGTGCATTGGTTCTAATGCCTTCTTCATGTTTCATAATAATTTCTGCACAGTATATTATCAATATTTTAACAAAATTTCAGAATGACCAATAATTTTAATGTAAAAATGCAAAAATATTCGAGACCAACAAAATTGATGTTCACTCCTCTGTAAACAAAGTTAAACTGAGAAGGGTTGTTGGGTGATTCAATCAGCTGATGGGCACACAAAAACTGTTCCTTATACTGTCTATATTATCAATATGTTAACTAAATTTCAGAATGACCAATATTTTTAATATAAAAAATGCAGAAATATTCAAGAGGCCAACTTTCTTAATATTTACTTCACTGGAAACGAGTGTAAACATAGAACCAATTACTGTATTGGTGGACTAGCTGATCAGCTGATGCGCACAACAAAATGTAAGGATTTCGTTAATCGAACTGAAAATCCTTATGGGAGCTAATTCGTTAACCGAAATTTCGTTAATCGAACCGTTAGTTAACCGAGGGACCACTGTTTATGTGAAATGAACAATACAATTCATTAATAATATGTGGAATATTAAAACACACTAGAGGATAAGAGACGGCATTGTTGTCATGTTTACACCCATAATGTCAGTTACCCACCTGAAACTGAAGAAAATAAGACCCTGGTTGTTGTTGTAGTAAAATTAATGTAAAAAATATGTATGTTTTAATTAATGTTATTTAATGTACAGTACAAGTAACCACTGATATTAAAGAAAAAAGCGAGACTGATAGTGGAACACCAATGTATATGTGCGCACTCAAGGAAACAGTCATTTATCTTAAGAATATGTACAAAAGATTCATTATTGTTTATTACTGACTATGTATTTGATTTAATTAATGTTTATATACAGTAAGTGAAATGAACAATGCAATTCATTAATAATACGTAGAATATTAAAACACACACGAGGAGACAAGACAGCATTGTTTTCGTGAGTGACGATGGTTCTACATGAGAAACTGAAGAAAATAAAATGCTGGTTGTAGCTGTAGTAAACTTAATTTAAAAAAATTGAATATCTGTATGTATGTTTTAAGTAATGTTATTTAATGTTAATAAATGAACACTAGAAGTAGCTAACCACTAATGGTACATAAATAAAGCGAGACGATTGGGAACGCCAACGTATGTACAGTAAGTGCGTACATGTGAAAACATATCGTCATTTCTCTACATATGAATATGAAAGCAACGCTTATTTACTATTCATATATGTTTTAAATAATATTTACGTATGTAAAACAAAAATTCTACTCGCCAATGGTGGTAAGGTCTAAAACATAAGGACAGCTAATGAATATTGTGCGAGTTTTTACTCACGTGACGAAGTCGTCGGGTTCAACTCTGGCTAAAGCTGTAGGTTCAACTCTGGCTGAAGCTGTAGGTTCAACTCTGGCTGAAGCTGTAGGTTCAACTCTGGCTAAAGCTGTTGCTGAAACTTTTACTGAACCTGAAGTTGTTATTGAAGCTGCTTATGATGCTGAATTTGATGGTGTAGCTGAAGTTAATGGTTTAGGCCTTCGAATAATAAAGCTGTCAAAAGAACCTTGCACAGCTGCTTTCTTTTCTCATTATACATCATTATGTAGAGGTCATTTGCGTTTTTTTAAATTTTAATGCTTTGTTCTGTTAATGGATCCACTTCAGAAGATATGTTCATTGCTTGCTCCATATAATATCCACAGACCTCTCGCCTTTTTCATATCGTTTTATAACACATCTAGTTTCTCGGCTAAGCTTATATACACTTTCTATTAGCTTTTGAAACAACACTACCATCACTTGCTCTCTTGCTCATGTTGAATAGGGATGCAAAAATGCTGTAAGAAACCTGAAAGTTTTCTCCTGTTCCTGTTCAGATGCGTGAAAACAAAGGGACCACCAAGCTCTGACTGTTGTTTACTGGCTATGCTCATTACCACTCATTAGCCAGGCAACATCTTTGCACAAGGAACTTTTTTTTTACCAGTAATTTTTTATATTTTTTTTATTATACATATCGGGATTTAGTTATTATTTATATGAAAATGTAATTTTACTATTTTTATTATTTTTGGTCGTAAATACGAATGAAATATGGATGTAAATTGAATTGGGTCCTAAATTAACTAGGGTCTTAAATATGAAAAGTTGATGGTCGAACTGTTCTTATCAGAGGCTTTACTGTACTGTACATTCAGTGAATGTGAAAGTACCATGTGTATAGAAAAGGGGAAACACTGGAGCACCTTAGCTTTTGTCCTTTTTCAAGACATCTTCAGGTCTTGAGATCGTTAATCCCTCAACCAATCTCCACTGCAAATGAGAGAAAAGCTTATATACAGTGGTGACCTGACATTGCATCAGGTTAGGTCAGTCACATGAGACCCACTATTCCTCTAACCCACCTCCATTGCAAGTGTTAAGATGTAAAAAGTGATTACATTTATGTATACTGTACATTTAGTAGTGTGGACAGTGTATGCCTATTGTAGGCTCAAGATAAGAGTATCTGCTAGTGAGTACAGTGTACAGTACAATAGTACTGAAGTACATTATTTTGTTTATTTACAATATATTGTACGCGTACAGTAGTGTTTGGGTAAATAAATACAGCTCTTGTGTCTGTCCGTGTGAGATGCGTAGTTTAGACTCTAGGGACAACTTTTCCCAGTACAGGATGGAAAATTGGCTGTGACACACAGCTCCATTCATGCCGTACTCCCATATCGTTTAGAATTTTTTTTTATATATGTATCTATTTGAACAAATGTTTAGATAAACTATTCAGGATTATATTAGTACAAAAATTGTGTTTCTTACTTAATTAGAACTGATTTTATAGACTGGTATAAACATTTCTTACTTTTTCATAAAAAAATTAGTTCTCATCTTTGCTTGACGTTCAAATATTTTGTTTTAAGGATTATTTATTGTAGATAATCTACTCGGGATCATTAAGGTACTAAATTCATCCCTCTAACACAGTTAGACCATGTTGTAAATAAAAGATTATACAGTTTTTCGCTAGTTGTAAATAATTTCGCTGGTGCTCGCGGCCTATCTACTGTATTATGGGAGCATGTTTGTCCTTGCGAGAGGAGATGCATAGTTTAGACTTTTGGAAAACTTTCCCCAGCCCCCAGAAACATTCCAGGGATGTTCGATAGCGTCTGTATGTGCGAGATGCGTGGTTTAGGCTCGGAAAATGATTCCCAATACCCAGAAATCTCTCATACTCGGAGGAGCTCTGCACCAATTATTATTCCGGCTAACAGGGATACCACTCACTGTATTTTGAAAAAAAAAATAACTAGAGAAGTAAGTTATTACATGAATATGGTAGCGTGGTGAGGATCCGAGCCCCGAGGATCAATTCCAGGAGCTGTATATTTTTCATACCATTACTTGAATGAATACTTGGTGAAATGATCCACCGAAATTCTCCCTTCTACCAGATTTTTCCCCCATTTGCAGTTGAATCATCATGGGCATTGCAACAATCATTTCTAAGTGCATATAAATCTGGTACAGCACAGAAATGTGCATCACATATTGGCATTTTGATAATATTAGTCAATTGGTGACACTAATGATATTTTAAAAGATTCATTTTTACTTTCAGACAAAATATGTTGACCTCATTTAATTAGGTAGCTACAATTTATTACATAAAGTGGAGCTTATTTATTTTTGTAAGATTAATGGTATTTATTGATCATATTATTCTTTCATAAACAAAACTTAGATGACAAATTTTTTTCTTTATCTCTCGATCTTGTCATTTACCCAGATGCCAACGTGTGTTTCAGACGATGACATTCTACGAGGGGGGTGACGCAAGCAACGGAGAGGCTCCGTCCATGTTAGATGCCTCCGTTTCCTCGGCAGTTGACACAACATCAACCCCTGACACCTCAATGAAAGAAACAACAGACGCCCCCAAGACTGATGATGATAAGTAACGAGAGGCCTTACAGAATTCTTTAAGATTGATTGATAAAAAGTTTTCAGTGTAAAAATCTGAAAGAGCAGCAGGACAACAGGAGTTTTTAAAAGTGAATTTTATCAGGAATTTTCTTTTCAATTATATATTATATTTAAATTCCAGTCAAATAATCAAAACTACAACATTCAGGATTTTTTAAGTGAAAATTGGTTAGATCTGAAAAGCTGGAACAAATATAAATACTGTACTGTATATGTAAATGGAACAAAATTAGAAAATTGATGTGAGGGATTATAAGTGTGATATTAAGTTTACTGTATTAGGTATTTGACAAAGTTATGCATAAGTAATAATTTTTAAAATTTGAAAAGATTTATTTTAGTAAAGAGAATTAGTGTTATGAATACAAACAACAGTAGAAGCTCACTCTTCTCTGGCAATGTGATGAAGTTCAGGTAAATATGGCTTAGTGTAACAAGGTACAGTATTTCAGAATAGATATGAATTTGAATTGCAAATATAGTACAGTAATTTGATGACCACTAACTTGACCTTTTTATAATCAATGTTTTCCACTTGCCAACTCAGAAAGAAATCAGATTTTAAAAACTTTGCATAACACATATTTTTGCCTTAATGCCGTATGCTATTTGGATTTTTTATGTCATTTATAGTGTAGTATATGCGGAATTAACTTGACACAGGAAAACGTCCAAAAAACACATTGTGCCGTCACTCAATATTTGATTTTGAAGGTTTAATGGTAATATTGTTTTATCATTGTAGTTTAGTTTGAGTGCAGACTTCTTCCGTGTGTAAGTTATTTCCTCAAACACTCGAGTGCTGAATATTTCCCAGCAGTCAACTATAAGGGTGTGTCAGATGCCTCAAGATGACAGAGAGAAGGCAGATGTTTATGCCAGTTATTTTTGTAGTAATTTTAACCCTAAACACCATATAACTTTTTTTCTTTCATAGTAATCAAAAAGTCTTTAGATATACCTACTGCAAAGTCATGGTAGAATTTCACTCATACCTATTTTAAGATTTTCCCCCCATTTGAAAGGTATCTATATCCTTTCAAAATATGAAGTCAGTGACTGGAAGATCTGCAGAGCCTTGAAGTATGTATTAGGCTTTTCAGATTTGAAGGTTTTACAATGGTACAACAAAATTTAGCTTGTTTGCCATTTGCCTTATTAACCCCTGGGCTTTGGGCTATGGTCGGCATCTCCTCCCCCCAATGCTGATACAAATGCGGGAACATTTAAAAAACAATTAAAAATCAATTTTGGTCTTACAAACTGGCGATGTATGATATAAACAAGAAATAAATACATGTCCTTACCACAGGTTGTCAACACAGGGACTAGGAAGAGTCTAGAATGTTCTTGAATTGTGTGTGTGTGTGTGTGTGCGTGTGTGGGTACATGCGTGCGCGCACTGCGATGCGATGCGATGCTATGCGATGCGGTAGTACGAGGTAAACAACACTAATCTGTAGGTAGTGTGTGCTACAAGACACTTGTTTTACTATGTTATTACTATTTACATTACTGTATTAAAATTATTATTGCCGCTCCAGTAATTGATCACGATACAAAACATGTGCTCAGGGGTTATGTATAGAAACACAGGGTGAAGTGAGTAAAGTCCAAGGGCAAGATTCCTACATCACAAAAGTTTAGAAGAGACTGGGAGGCTTTCATGTGTGAGTGAGTGAGTGAGTGAAAGATAAATACCTACTTGGCAACATATCTAGCCAGGCCCGCCCTTTTTATTCAAATAGGCCCGTGGATGATCAAAGCGTCATATAACATTACCCGAAGCTCTACAGATGCACTTCATATGACATAACCCAAAACCTAGGAGTTAATAGAAGGCAGTATTGAGATTTGTGAATCTTTAAAAAAAAAAGTTAGTTTTTCTGGAGTATAAATTTGGTATTTTATGGTGATATACATTTAGTACTGACCGACCGTCAACACAGCAGTCTCCTTGGTAGCTTCGAAAATGAAGACTCGTTCGTTTTCAAATTATATGAATTCAGTTGTGCTTGGAAAATTCTTTAGATCTGTCCAAAGTTTTCATGTGTTTACAAAGTTTATTAATGAGATTTTAGTGTGTATATCTTGTAACCTATTGTTATCTGTCTTGTATATTCATAACTATATATATATATAAATTCATGTTGACATAGTAGTATTAGTCAGTTATTCATTAAAGGAATTAGTTACATAAAAGACAGATTCTTCATGATTGAGATCACTTATGCCATGATTAATATTAAGTCTTCTCCTCTTTAAAGTTCTCATGGTACATATAAATGTTTCTGAAGCTGACAAACAAATATAGAGTCAGTTGGTTTATGCTGAAGCCTTGTCCATTTTATCTCTTATATATACGTTAATAAATTACTTCAATGATGAATACAAATACAGTATATTCCACTGGATCTACATTGATGTAAATGCAAGGAAAAGCTTATTGTAGTGTGATACAATAGATTTGGATGCATTCCATGTAGTCATACATAATCTTATTTCATCGTATACTGTTGCCTCCACGTGAACGTACCACAACCTGGGAGTGTGTGAGGCCACGGATATGAGATGTGGCACCACAGGTTTCTAGTCCTGGCCATGAAACCCTGGATTACCCTGTTTGCCAGCTTAGGTTTCATAAATATCTGCAAGAATATAAAAACAATAATAATATATAAAGCATCCATGTGAGAAGTGTTCTTCACCATTGATGTGTGACCACGTAAACAAGGTAATTTCACTGTTTCATACCCATTCGTTCATCCCTGACTATGGTGCTGTGATGCCACATCTCGTACCCAAGCCCTCACACACACTCCCAGGCTGTGGTATATCCTTGTGGAGGCAACTGTTCATTGTTTCCACCTTTTATTAATGGCAGTTTAGCCAACACTCCATATAGTTTACCAACAAACTTGTTATGGATATGTACAGTATACAATTAAATTTTGTCACACCAAGTGAGTGATGAGGATAAATAATGCTGTTGAATAGTGCAACTGATGAATGATAAATGCAGGAACTTGTTAAAAGCCAGAATGCTGATGTAGTACACAAATAACTATATCTACAATCATGCATATTTTCAGACTTAGGTCATTGGTATGAGCACTTTTTCCTTTTATAATTAAATGTAGGTTTCTCTTCTTTCATAGATAATAATTACATTTTAAATACTGTACTTCTGTGATGCAACAGATGGGACATTTCTGTATTGATTTCCAGAAACACAATATGTGCCCTCCAGAGTTTGTGCCTTGTGTGTGAAGTGATAAAAAATGCAAAATAAACATTCACTAGAGTAAATGTACAGGTATTGCATAATGTAAGTCAGGATTTTATGTTCAAACTCTTTGGTGTAATACATGTATATCATTAACCATGTTATGATAATGCAATTTTAACCATCAATGTATGTGATTACACAGCTAACAGTTGGAGGCTTCTTGTTGAATCCTGAGATATTCTGTTAAATTTTAAACACTTGTTTTAATAAAATCTGTTACAAAGTGATGTGATAGTGCCTTACAAACTACTCTGTTAAAATCCAATGCCAAATTACAAGTGAGAGTTGCTGTTTGTATTTTTATCAAATAGATTTTTGGAGATCACCTGTACTGTACAGTGTGATTTCATGTTTGGTGGAAGGAGTCTCCTGATACCTGTACAAGAAATAATGTAAAGTTTGTGTATCTTTTGTCTTGATTATTTTTTTTTTTTTTTTAAGATGTTTGCATTTTTCTTGTTTTACACCTAAGAACTTTCATAAATAAACTAGTGAAGCTCGGGTTACACACCTCATCATTCTGTATGCTTGTGCTGTACTCTGTATGATCTGTATGATCTGTTACACCCAACCTGATAGAGAAAATTAAAATCCTGACTAAAAATTTATCTGTTTAATAGTTCATTTGCTTTTATTTCTTGCATTTTATGAAACTTATTACTTAGATATCATAACATGGTTGTTTTACTTAAGTAAATAATTCTGGTAAAGTATGTCCATAGAGCTGATACATTTGTATATTACATCATAAGATTGTTAAAATTATGTCTTCCAGGTTGGTCTGGGGTTAAATTTCATAATTCATTTGATAATAAATGCTTATCTCTTTACTTTCATTTCATTGGAACCATATATATATTTTTCCCAATAACATGTATGTCATGAATATTCCACCACTTTTTCTACATTGTATAAATTTATATTCACTAATTGTGTTTTAATTTTAGAGCTCCAACTGTCTAAAAACAATGCTATTAATCTTTTGTGTAAAATCATGGGAAATAATGTGAAACAAAAGTTCATTTTAGATAAATTTCCAACGAACTATAAAAGCCTGCAATACCTTTCTCAAAGGAAAACATTGTATGGCAGAGCCATCTTGGGGAGAGATGCACAGAGACATGTTCTTGCTAACTGATCATATTCCTCCCCCCCCCCTTCCTCTCGCATCTCCCACAAGCCCGCGTCCTTCCCCATTCTTCATGTGTGTGTGAATGTATCTCTCTCTGTCCGTTTGTATTCGTGCCATCCTTTTGTTGTACCTTTCTTTATGGCATCCAAGCATAACACTGAATATTTGCCTTCAAAGGAGCTCAGGAGCCTTCAAGAGAGGTTAGGCTCTCAACTGACTCTGCCATGTCAATATTGTTATTATTATCGACGCTGTATCTGTATTTTTCTGGCTAAATAACTGTTTCAATATCAATCAATACCAGTACTACACCAAAAGGCTGTAACTGTGAGACAAAGCTGGAAGTATATTATGTGTCATGAGCATGGTGGTGGCCCTACCAAGATTAGGAAAACTCTTGGTCTGGCTGCTTCTACTGTGGCTTTTACTCAGCTCACCCTTGCTTTCCTCCTTGAGATGATGAACCCAGACTGCCCTCCTATTAGGTAATGTAACAAAATTACACAGTATTTTATTAATTTATTTTTATCATGTGTTAGGTAATAGAGTACAGCCCTTGTGTATCTGGCCAGTGGAGGAAACATGTTGCTTGTGGCTCCCTTGAACATAAACTATTTTTACATTTTTACAGTACAATTATTGGTCATTCTGAAATTTATTTAACATATTGACAATATATATAGTGCAGTGCAGTGTTGATTTAAAGAAAATAATCTTGAATTACACCTAGTGAACTTAAAATTTTATTGGTGAAATGACGGCATCAAGAATGGGTCCCCTGAAAGGTGATTTCTCCACCCCCACTTCCTTCTCTTCTCCCTTCTCCTCCTCCACCCCCACTTCTAATTCCCATCATCATCAACCAGGAGCCTTCTACATACACACCTCAAAGTAAGTGTACTTTACTCGTTTTTTTTTTTACTTTGTATATAATTTTCAGTGAGCTGGAACCAATTACCCAAAATCCAATTGAAACAATGGATTCGGTTAACGAACGACCATCTGGAACGAATTGAGTTTGTTAACCGAGGGACCACTGTAGTACAGTATCTCTTATTATTACTGTACTGTTATATGAGTTAATACAGTATAGTACAGTATCTCTCACTGTACTACATGAGTTAATATAGTACAGTAGTTAAGGTACTTACTGTATGTAAACCTGAACACATTAACTGATCCTCACCGTTGAACACCACAGGAGGAGATAGAGGAGGAGGAACCGGAGGAACTGGGAGACCATTGCGCCATGTCCAAGAAGGAAGTTGACTACACCGACAGCTTGACGGAGAAAGAATGGCTCCGTGCTATTGAGGTACGTATGGTAGTTACCACGTTCTCGTAACAATGTCTTGGGGACAATTGGCGTCGTTTTTTATATATGTTTATTATGTTTATTTATTTTTTGTATATTTTTCCTCCATTTTGACGCCGATAGGACAACTTTAAAGACGTGTGAGTGTATTAATAATATTTTTATCGAAAGATTTTTACTCCAGTATAAAAAAACGTATGAAAGGAGAATGATGGTGATGTATTCTGGTGTGAAATATTATTAAAGACTTATAATTATCTGCCTCGCAACAACAACAACAACAACAACAACAACAGCATCGCGATTAGTGGGAATAATAATTGGGAGCCAAGTGGTACTGCCGTTAACTTGAGAGTAAACAACTTTTAATGTTGTTAGAAAATATAAAATGGATCTGTAAGAAATGGCAGCAGACATTGTAACCAAGTTTGTATTTTACCATTTATGATAGAGATCAACTTATATTAATGCTGCTGCTACATTAATTACTACTGCTACATTAACTAATGCTACATTAACTAATGCCACATTTACCACTACTGCTACATTAACTACTACTGCTACATTTACCACTACTCCTGACTGTTAGTGGGTACAATTATAAATATTTTTTATAACATGCAGGCTGTTGAAGAGGATGGTAAAGAGGTAAGAGATGGTGTGTGTAAATCAATCTATCTTTGTCTGTCTGTTTGTTTGTGAATGTATGTCTTTGATTTATACTTGTGTCAATTAAATCTTCAGTAAATAACAAAAAAAATGAGTAACTGTGTGTATTATTTTCGTCTATAGTAGTTAAATTAGTGTGTGTAGAGACATGTACGCACAGGTAAGTTTATGTATGCACAGGTAAGTTTTTGTATGCACAGGTAAGTTTTTGTATGCACAGGTAAGTTTATGTATGCACAGGTAAGTTTATGTATGCACAGGTAAGTTTATGTACGCTTAGGGATGTTTATATACGCACAGGTAAGTTTATGTACACACAGGGTAGCTAATATAGAACTTTGATTTTCAGCAAGTTCAATAGTTCAGTGTTATTTAGTGTATTATTGAACAGTACCAGGTATTATTGAACAGTACCAGGTATTATTGAACAGTACCAGGTATTATTGAACAGTACCGGGTATTATTGAACAGTACCAGGTATTATTGAACAGTACCAGGTATTATTAAACAGTACCGGGTATTATTGAACAGTACCAGGTATTATTGAACAGTACCGGGTATTATTGAACAGTACCGGGTATTATTGAACAGTACCGGGTATTATTGACCAGTACCAGGTATTATTGAACAGTACCAGGTATTATTGAACAGTACCAGGTATTATTGAACAGTACCAGGTATTATTGAACAGTACCAGGTATTATTGAACAGTACTGGGTATTATTGAACAGTACCAGGTATTATTGAACAGTACTGGGTATTATTGAACCCATGTGTAGCCAGTGTGTGTGGCTACATAATATGGTTCACTGTAGTAATATGGCCCACACTACAGTACTGAAGGCCATTGTTGTAAGGTATAGTACATAAAATACAATAGGGCCTGTATAAAAAAAATTTGATTTACCAGAAGGGCATTTTATTTATTTATTTTTCGCTCAGTTTAGTGAACTGATTCTCAAAATCAAGCGAAAATTACGAAAATTGATTTAGTGGAAATTTCTTTTTATCAGAAAGGGTTGGCTCGAATTAGTTCATTAATCCTGGACCTCATACAACCTTTATATCGCATCTCTTACTATGTGGGGTGAAAAGTGATCCTGAAATATGGATTACCTCTACTTATATAATGTGTGATCAGATCCTGGTGCCACATTCTGTCGTGAACTGTTAACTGTTGTGTACTGTTAACTGTTGTGTACTGTTAACTGTTGTGTACTGTTAACTGTTGTGTACTGTTAACTGTTGTGTACTGTTAACTGTTGTGTACTGTTAACTGTTGTGTACTGTTAACTGTCGTGTACTGTTAACTGTCGTGTACTGTTAACTGTCGTGTACTGTTAACTGTTGTGTACTTTGATGTAGTTTTACTATGTTGTGGTTTACCTGTGGTCTTTAAGGTGTGTTTTACCTGTGGTCTTTATGTGTTTTACCTGTGGTCTTTATGATGTGTTTTACCTGTGGTCTTTATGATGTGTTTTACCTGTGGTCTTTATGATGTGATTTACCTGTGGTCTTTAAGGTGTGTTTTATCTGTGGTCTTTATGATGTGTTTTACCTGTGGTCTTTATGATGTGATTTACCTGTGGTCTTTAAGGTGTGTTTTACCTGTGGTCTTTATGATGTGTTTTACCTGTGGTCTTTATGATGTGTTTTATCTGTGGTCTTTATGATGTGTTTTACCTGTGGTCTTTATGATGTGTTTTACCTGTGGTCTTTATGATGTGTTTTACCTGTGGTCTTTATGATGTGTTTTACCTGTGGTCTTTATGATGTGTTTTACCTGTGGTCTTTATGATGTGTTTTACCTGTGGTCTTTATGATGTGTTTTACCTGTTGTCTTTATGATGTGTTTTACCTGTGGTCTTTATGATGTGTTTTACCTGTGGTCTTTATGATGTGTTTTACCTGTGGTCTTTATGATGTGTTTTACCTGTGGTCTTTATGGTGTGTTGTACTTGTGGTCTTTATGATGTGTTTTACCTGTGGTCGTTATGGTGTGTTGTACCTGTGGTCTTTATGATGTGTTTTACCTGTGGTCTTTATGATGTGTTTTACCTGTGGTCTTTATGGTGTGTTGTACTTGTGGTCTTTATGATGTGTTTTACCTGTGGTCTTTATGGTGTGTTGTACCTGTGGTCTTTATGATGTGTTTTACCTGTGGTCGTTATGGTGTGTTGTACCTGTGGTCTTTATGATGTGTTTTACCTGTGGTCCTTATGGTGTGTTGTACCTGTGGTCTTTATGATGTGTTTTACCTGTGGTCTTTATGATGTGTTTTACAAGTGGTCTTTGTAACTACCACACACTGGTGACCTTAATAAACTTACTTCAGGCCATGGAAGAAAAGGAGGAAGAGGTAACTAGCAGTAAGAACAAGAGGACCTCAAAAGGCAAGCGTAAACAACAGGACGACCTGGATAACGATGACGACCCCAAACCTAAGAAACAGGGTCGTCCGGCCAGGGAAAAACCCGCGCCCAAAAATAAACGCATAATTCGTCAGCTGAAGCGACAGGTCAGTGAGTCAATCAGTTAGTCAGGCAGTCAGTTAGTCAGTCAGTCAGTCAGTCAGTCAGTCAGTCAAGTCGTCTTTTATGCCTACAGTAAGCTAACCTTGACTATATATTGTGTTATCTCACATTATTTACACACGTTATTTACATAAATTATTGATATTATACATTATTTATGCACATTATTTACATATTATTTAGACATTATTTACACACGCTATTTAGACATTATTTACACACGCTATTTAGACATTATTTACACATTATTTACGCACATTTTTCACACAATATTTACACACATCGTGGAGATAAAATTTTTACTATATAATAAAAATCTCTATCATTTTTGGGGGAGGTTTCATTTTCCTCCTCCCCAAAAAACTAACCTAACCTAACCTACCCTGCCCTAACTAATCTAACCTGCCCTAACTAACCTAACCCCATACTCTCTCTCACCTATTATAACAATTCTCTAAACAATAATAACACATAATACTTTACTTGGTATCGTAAGAATCTTGTTCCCATTGTCTTATTTATTTATATTTTTTAAGGGGAACTATAAATATTTGATCTTTTTTTTTTGAGGGGGGGGGGGTGTATTTTCTTAGCACCGTTAATATAATGTAACTCTTCCACACAGCGACGGGCGGGTACTGAGCGAACCGTTCATGAAGTTACCGTCCCGTCGAGAACTGCCGGATTACTACGGGATAATCAAGAGGCCTATGGATATTTGCAAGATCCTATCCAAGATTGAGGAAGGAAGGGTAAGTTTGATGTATAAACAGCAGATTAAAACAACAAACGCACTCCATTATTGCCTCTCGTTTCACGGTGTTTGGAAGTAAGAGTAAATGCTTCAGAACAGTTTATATTACCTGTGTTGATGTATAAACAGATTAAAAACAAATGTAATCCACCATTGCTTCTTAATTTGATGGTGTTTTGGTTATTGAGGTGTTTGGATGTGAGAGTAGTTGTTTGAGTACAGTTTATATTACCTGTGTTTTATTTAGGATTTTTTGAAGTGATATAAACACAGTATCCAAGAATTTATCAGATACTGGAATAAGTGTCTGGTCAGGTTAGATTAAGTTAGGTTGGGGTAGGTTAGGTCAGGTTGGGGCAGATTATGTCAGGTCAGGTTAGGTTAGGGTAGGGTAGATTAAGCCAGGTCAGGGTAGATTATGTCAGGTCAGGTCAGGGTAGATTATGCCATGTCAAGGTAAATTAGATCAGGTCAGGTGAGGCTGCATTAGGTTAGGCTACTTTAGGTTAGGTTTAGTTAGATTTGGTTAGATTGATTTAGCTTTGGTGATGTTAGGTTTGATTACATTTAAACTGCATTATATTAGGTTAGGTTAAATTAGAAGATTCAGAGGTTGGTTAGGTTAGAACAGGGGTCACCAAACTTTTTTCACAGTGGGCCGGATAACTGAAAGAATGACGAGCGCGGGCCGCATAATCATTCTGTTCAATACTTGCAAGCCAGAACGAAAGCTCTGGTAACGTCAGAGCGTAGGCGGAGCTACCACGAGCCGGGGAAGGACTTGGGATCCGGCCCGCGGGCCGTAGTTTGGTGACCCCTGGGTTAGAAGATAAAGAGGTTGGTTAGGTGAGGTTACATTGAGTGAAGTTCACTGGGGTTAGGTTAAGTGGGAGTATTTAGCTAGTTATGTGGTTATCACGTACACACAGCCTTAACTAATACAGTATGTAGGTAGTTACGACACACACATGACCACACCATACACTAATCATCACAATATTTTAGAATCACAGACAGAGTTACTTAATACCCCCATCATTAATCCAAGCCTGAGAGCTAAACCTAACGACCACCTGCCCGTTTTCAGTACGAGGACGCTAACGACCTGCAGAGCGACTTTGTTCTCCTGTGTCGCAACGCCCAGGAGTACAACGAGGAGGCTTCTGTGATCTTTGAGGACTCGATAATTATGCAGAGCGTCTTCTTCAACGCCAGGGAGCGCATGGAGGCAGAGGTTGATACTTTCCCTGAAGAAGGTACGTCAGTCAGTCAGTCAGGGAGTTGGTCAGTCAATCAGTAGTTCCTGTCAACAGTTTATATCCTGAAGAAAAATGGTAGAGTTATTGTTATGGTAGCTCAGTCAGTCAGTGGTGTTGTTATTACTCAAGTATATTTTATTATTACAGAAGAGGAAGATGATGAAGAAGAAGAGGAAGACAGTAGAGGAAAGGAGGGGAAGAAAAATAAGAAGGATAAAAGCCGAGGCAGGAGGAAAAGAGTAAAATATGCCGATGATTCTGAGGATGTTGATGACGATGATGATGACGTGAGTAATAAAAAAGAAACAGAGTGAAGCTTTTAAATTAGCCCCTAAAAATGTAAGCAAAAAACGTAAACCAAAATGGGGTTAAAAATTGAGTGGAATTTTTTTTTCATCGCCAGTTTTTATTTTTATTATTATTATTTTTATGCCGTTTGTGTTAGTTATTGTAGTAGTTAATTGTGTTTGTATTTATATATTAAGATAAATGTTTGGTTGTATCAGCAGCTCTATGTATGATGGTCTTACTGATTGAGAGAGGGAGGAGAGAGAGAGAGACTTTATAACCCAGTCTCAGCTTATGACTTTTGGGCTTTATAATAAAACAAACAGATATATGTTTAACTTTATATTTTTCTTAACATCTCATCATGATCTACAATATGTGGTGCAGTATGTGGTACAGTATGTGGTACAGTATGTGGTACAGTATATAGTACAGTATATATATGGTACAGTATATGGTACAATACAATACAACTTTTCCACTCAAAAAAACTCCTCTATAAGTTTTCTTTTGTGTGAGTCAAGTTATTTTTTATTATATTATTTTTAATAGGTTTTACTTTTAATGAAACTTCCTTAAAATTAAAAACCAAAAACCCCCCCAAAATTTAATTATATTTCTATCAATGAATATTTTCCACAGTCATTAATTATAATTTTTCCTTTGTGTTCCCACCATACATGAGACCTTATTATGTTCATCAAGTTATACCATTAGATAATATTCTTTAACTAGTGGTAAAATATCTCTTCTGTCACACACCATTATAGTTTGTACACCCGGTGAGCTGTCTTATTTAATCTCTCTGTTTAGTGATTTTGTTTTTTTTTTATACCTTTTCAGTGATGTGTGTTTGTCTGGCATCGGGTTGAAGATGTGAGAGATCGAGGCAGAGTTTACTGTCGGCTTGATTATTTAAGATCTTGAAGTAATGTAATAATTTAAAATGATCTCATCTCTAGAGTTCTGTCCTCTCAGAAGTTATTGTCAAGGAAACTATAAAATTGTCCTCTGTCAGAAATTATTATCAAGGAAACTATGCAATGAAGGATCCTCTGTCAGAAATTATTATCAAGGAAACTTGCAATGAAGGATCATTGTAGGTATACCAAGTCCTTGATATAATTTTAGCAGAGAAAGTATACAAGGCACGAATGAGGGGTGACAGCTGTGAGTCCTGGAGCAAGGAACATTGTTTACTAAAATGTCTCGCGGAACTTAACACTTAATTACGTATGTTTTGTTATGACGCGTACATAATGTAGGGTAGGGTAGCACCAGTTGGGGGTGGGATGATTATCTTGTATACTAAAACAGACTTAGTAGAATGTTGATGAAATAGTGTTGTGAGATTGTCTGGTACTAGTTGTTGTTCATGACTTTTTCTCGTGAAGTAATGTTTAGAATTATTTAATATATTTGGTGTAGTGTTAATAGTCCCCAGGTTATGTGTACACTATATAGCTTGATGTAAAGAGGACTTAAGTGACGCCTCTTACAAGTGGTGCAAATAATCTTTTAAAGTGGTGCAAATTATTATTATATTTTTATTTTTTTACTTCTTTTTTTCTCTTTAGGATATAGATAAGTTTAATTATACTGATTCTATTAAATAAAAAAAATAGCTAATAAAGGCAGAGTGGAGAATTGATCAATAAACAATAATAGCTAATAGAAACAGGTGAAGAATTGATCAAAAGAGAGATGTTTCTTTACGATCTACCCCTTACCTTAATCCGAGAGAGAGAGAGAGAGAGAGGCATCTGATCTCTCATTCCTCATAGACATTCCGATGTTATGATATACGTTGGTAAAGTAATGGCTGCTGTAGAGTTTGTCGGTGAGTCTCATTAAATTAATCGTAAAACATTTTGCTGTGAAATTAACTCTACATATTTAAATTAACTCTACGTATTTAAATTAACTGTATGTATTTAAATTATACCCTACATAATTAATTTAACCCTACATATTTAAATTAATTCTACATATTTAAATTAACTCTACGTATTTAAATTAACTGTATGTATTTAAATGTCAGAATATTGTGGTAGAAGTAGTTATACACAATATAGTCTTTTACTTAAATAAAAAAGATCAAAGGTTTTCTTTTTGGGGCTCAAAGGCAAAAAAAAATTATACTGGAATGGTGGTGATGGTATTATATTATGGTGTAGGAATGAAAGAATTTGTTTGTGGTCGCCCCATCTTGGGATAAACTGTACTGTCTGATACACAGTCACTTACCTACAGTTACTGGTTGTGGGATAAACTGTACTGTCTGATACACAGTCACTTAACTACAGTTCTGGTTGTGGGATAAACTGTACTGTCTGATACACAGTCACTTACCTACAGTTCTGGTTGTGGGATAAACTGTACTGTCTGATACACAGTCACTTAACTACAGTTCTGGTTGGGATAAACTGTACTGTCTGATACACAGTCACTTAACTACAGTTCTGGTTGTGGGATAAACTGTACTGTCTGATACACAGTCACTACCTACAGTTCTGGTTGTGGGATAAACTGTACTGTCTGATACACAGTCACTTACCTACAGTTCTGGTTGTGGGATAAATTGTACTTTCTGATACACAGTCACTTAACTACAGTTCTGGTTGTGGGATAAATTGTACTGTCTGATACACAATCACTTACCTACAGTTCTGGTTGTGGGATAAATGGCACAATAAAAGCAAATAATAAGACAAAGCAGAAAATGCTCACTTCCACAGCAGGTATCTTGAGAGCCACTGATTCTTTGAAGCAGACTGAGCATTGGTGAAGATCCAGTGTTTGCCATTTAATATGGAATCCTTAGTACATGACTCAGTGATGGGGCTGAGTAGCTCATCCAACTCATGAATGGTAAAGCCCCAGGAGACGGTAGGTTTCCGCCTCAGAATACAGTAGGATTCTGCCTCAGAATACGGTAGGATTCTCTTAGAATAGGTAGGATTCTGCCCCAGGAGATGGTAGGATTCCGCCTCAGAATACGGTAGGATCTCAATACTGTAGGATTCTGCCCCAGAAGTCGGTAGCATCCCGCCCAGGAGATGGTAGGATTCCGCCTCAGAATACGGTAGATTCCACCCCAGAAGACGGTAGGATTCCGCCCCAGAATAGGGTAGAATTGCCCCAGAAGACGGAGATTCTGCCAGAATACGGTAGATTGTAGGATTCTCGCCTCAGAAAACAGTAGGATTCCGCCTCAGAATGTAGGATTCCCCAGAATGTGGTAGGATTCCGCCCAGACTAGGGTAGATTCTGCCTCAAAAGACGGTAGGATTCCGCCTCCAGGAGACGGTAGGATTCCGCTCAGAATGCGTAGCATTCCGTCCCAAAATAGGGTAGGATTGTGCCCCAGAGGACTTAGGATTCTCCAGAATACGGCAGGATTCTGCCCAGAAGGTAGGATTCGCCCAGAATACGGTAGAATTCCACTTAAGAAACGATAGGATTCCGCAACAGAATACAGTAGGATTCCACCTCAGAATACAGTAGGAGTCCGCCTCAGAATATGGTAGAATTCTGTACCAGGATCGGGTATGATTCTTCCCAGACTGTAGGATTCCACCTGAGAATGCAGTAGGATTCTGCCTCAGAATACTGTAGATCTGCCATCTATACTTTTGTATTTAATAGCGGTCAGTATTTTCTCCGTACTATCATACGTTTTCTTCACACCTACAGAATGCTTAACTGGAACTGAGGGCTTCTGGTTCCCATTATGACAACAATACTGCTTTCAAACTAAACTTGGAGGAATCTTACTAAAAGCCGCCATTCCTTTGGGTCATGTTTTTCTCCCAACTCTGACATCAGTCCATCTACATCGGTACACACACACGGAGGGAATCCTGCAAACTGTATAATGAATGTTGAGTAAACACTGAGGAGCTCGGCACAGGAGCTCTGAGGAACTTGGGACGGTGGAGGAGGTGGAAACGGAAATTGAGGATTTGACAGCTTCACTGACATGTGTTTTCCAATTTAGTTTGTTATCTATAGTGGCGCTAAGGAGCTTAGTGAGTCTCACAACCTGGAGTGTGTTGGGGCCTAAAGTAATAGAAGGGGTGGGACAACGTCAGAGAAGAGTTGATGTACATAACCATGGTCTTGGTATGGTTGATGGTGACATGGTTGTTGGTGGAGGGCGTGTAGTTGGGAGCTGAATTGTTGACACTGATCTCAATGGTGGAGTCGCACATATTTCAGCGAGCAAGGGTTTCTCTTAGGCATCTGTACTGCGACATCATAGTCATTCCTAAAAAAAACCCCTAATTCATATTACGCTACATAACATTCAAATCCACCGCGCTTGTAGAATTTTCAGAAAACGGGAAACATTGTTAAAGGATAACCGCCACTCAATGTTACTGAATCATTTGTTAAATTGTACCCAGGTACGGTTATATAATATTACTTGTATGTATTCACAGCATTAAGGAGAACTCTAAGGTATCTATAAGAGGATTGGGAAAGTCCAGTTGATCCGACTAGTGCACTTTAGACCGAAGTGTAGATCGTGGTTTGAAGGTCATACTATTTACGTCTGTTAACGTTTAGCTAACAAAACTTCTGCAGATATTATATGAAAATACATGAGAACCATGATCTGGAAAAGGATAAATATCAGAACGATGTGAGGTGTTGGAAGTGACCCAGAAACTATACTTGAAAGGAAATATCTTGTATGCATCGGTGTGAACTTAATACACCTCATATCCGGGTGACGATACCCACGACATGTAGAGTGATCAGAGAATCTTATGTCTGTGTTCAAATAGTGCAACGTGGAGAGGAGGATCCTAATTACAGTTTTAAGTGAAGTGGATAAACCCACGCTATGAACATTCAGCTTTTGTTTTAGGTGGCATCCTTTGTGCCCGGCCTACAGGTGTGAGTTGAATGATATAGCCCAATTGATTTCCCAGAATGGTCAAACCTGAACCGTATTCTAGTATGTAAGTTAGATTAAAATATGTATTTATAAGACATGAGGTTACAATGTACAGGAAAGTGTTCATGTGAGAACCATAAGAAATCAAGTGATATATATATATATATAATATATATATATATATATATATATATATATATATATATATATATATATATATATATATATATATATATATATATATATATTATATATATATATTTATATATTTATATATTTATATATATTTATATAATATATATATATATATATATATATATACATATATATATATATATATATATATATATATATATATATATATATTTATATATTTATA